AATGCCCTTTCTGCCCCTTTATTAAAACGGCCCTAACACAGACTGAGGGGACGGCACAAAGATGTATAGCAGCACGGTTTTACCCTCTTTCATAGGATGAACTGCGTTTGACCTGCTGGTATAGGAGGAACAAGAAGTAATTTAGTGAGACAAGCCGCAACATTATCAGAGCGTGCCTGTTATGACTTGGTGTGTACAAGTTTATCTATATTATCTAATGCTTACTATGGCTTCTGGTACTGCTAATGACCAAAAGGATTAGTGAGATATGAACTTTACTTTATGATTTTTACAGCATTTCACACATTTTAATTATGGCAACAATTTGTATTTCCACTGCATTTTGAGATATTTTGAACAGGAGTGAGGTATGGAGGCAATGCAGAGGATACATAAAAGTGACACACATTGCATCGTATGGAGGATATAACAGAGATAATGTTTAAGCAGGAATGTTCTTCAAAAAGATCCATATTTCTTATACTGTCTGGAAAGTGATTTGAATATCAGTAACTATAAAAATGCATTTTTTACTGATCCAGAGGAAAAGCCTTACATAGACTCCATCTCTAGTCCAGCCATCTCTAGTCCAGCCATTCTCAAACAGGTGAAATGGAACTCTAGGGTTCCTTCTGACGTCTCTAGGGGTTCCTCAGGCTGTGGCTGATTGACCTCCCATCTGATTGTGCCTGTATAGTTCCAGAGCCATTGCCACTTGGCAGAGCCAACTGTATGACACCAATGATTTTTGTTAGCTGTCTGCCAGAGTGACATTCCGACCTCCACTGGGGGACATATTTCCTACTGGCCACCAGTGTAACAGGCGTTTTTCCAATGGCCCCAAATGAGTTGGTTTTAGCAGGGGTTCCTCCAGACCTTAAAATTATTTAACATGTTCCTCTGGGGGAGAAGGTTTAAGAAAGGCTGGTCTAGACAATTCATTGCAACAACAGTCTTCCCATGAGATTATATGTGCATTTAGGGCTTGTTCACACCAAAAGCTGCACTCAACCGCATGGCTGCTGGTGTGCATGTGCCCGGACAGTGCCGATGTGCTCGTTCAAGCCGCATTGCATGTTTCTTATTTTGTTGTTAGAATTCTATTGAAGTGTCACAAGTAACATTTCATAAGTTCTATGGGCTCACCGCGATGCAAAGCAGTTGTACCCCTCACTGTGGTGCACTTAATAAAGTACTGTAACTAGGGTTGCACAGATACCAAGTACAGTACTCTGTACAAGTACGAGTACATGTACCGATACTTTTGAGCTCCAAGACTAGACTAGAGAAAAATTCATAAGTTAGGAGTCAGCTGTCATTTGTAAGGAGCACACGGAGCTCCTGGGATTTGTACATCTCTGTTTTAATGTATGATTTTGTTTTTATAAATATAAATAAAGTGATGCACAGATACCAGTTTTGCGAGTACGAGTACTGGTACACGCGACAAACGCGCATATTCGATACGCCTAGGTCTGAACAGAGCCATAATTGATCCAAGTCTGATCTTCATCTTTTCATGGTTGGGGAAATATACTTATAGCAGGATTACTTGGTGGCAGGCAAGGAGTACAGGAACTCGGTCTCCTGGCCGAGGAAAGGTATACATTTTGTTTGTTAGCTCATTGTATATACAGAAAGATAAATCACTGTATAAAATGATAAACTCTCCCGTATTTAACACAGTTAAACAAAGTCAAGTTTTGAGGTTAGTATTCTCCTAAACAATCTAATTTTACAGAGAGCTTGATAAGTGCTTTTTTAAATAAGTATAGACATGTATTGCATGATGTTAAGTTATAGATGAGTAATCCAGGATGTCTCTGTATATACAAGCTAAGTATTCTTAAAAAGAAGCCATGACTGCTGCATATATTTATTATACGTTATGGCTAAACCCTGGTGCATATTCGTTGAGGGTATTAGGAGAGATCATATTCATATACACAATATAGAATTTCCCTGTGTTGGTTGTCAGTTTGTCAGTGAGTTATTCTTATTTAAAAAATGCTGAAATACAAAGAATTGCATGATAAACTATCGAGAGAAAATTACTTTTAGGACCTCATTCACACTGCTAAGAGCCAGCCAGCACAGATCCGTGCGGCGTGCACGGCCGTATCAGGCCGCTCCCGGGAAGGGCAGGTGCTGCGCGTGATTTGTATGCAGCAGTTGTACTTCTCTATGGGAGTACGCGAGCGTACGCCGCCGTACACTCACCCAAGTGCACATCCGTGCAGGTGCGGGTGTCTGTGCTTGAACGCAGACAGGATCCATCCACACAAATGTACACCCACACGAATGTGCAGTTCAGTTGAGCGTATGGCAGCGTACTCCCATAGAGAAGAACAGGCTGCTGCATACAAATCACACGCAGCACCTGTCCTTCCCGTGAGCGGCCCGATACGGCCGCGCATGCCGCACGGATCTGTGCGGGCTGGCTCTTAGCAGTGTGAATGAGGCCTAAAGCATAACTATATCTAAGACTATACATGTAATATATAGCAGCTTACCAGTCCTCAGATGTGGTGGCTGCATTCTTTTTCTTTTTTAGGCTAAGAACATTTTCAGAAACTGCAGAAAATACCTTTTGATCTTGCCAGAAAGTGTCCTCACTTCCTGTGAGCTGTATAGACAGCAAAAAAAAAACAGAGCTGTAGGCTGCATACAAGTGATCTCAGCGAGGTCACCGAGATCACTTGTACAAAACAAGCGGCCGCTTCCCCGCTCTACATTTGGCACTGTTTGACCAAAGCAGGGCTAAATGTAGAAAAAAAAATACCCGTCCAGCGCCCAGAACTGCATGTCCCGGGCGGAGGGAGATAGGAATTCCACACTCCTGCCGCCCCTCTACTCCCGGCCACCTCGAAGTCGGGGCTCGGTGGCCTTGTGGGAAATCCACCCTGCCCGGGTGGCAACCATGGCTCCTTCCATAGATACAGTAAAGTGAGCGAGTGTAGCCACATAGGTACAGGAAGTATGTTATTCACATGATCACCAGGTAAAAATAAAGGAAAAAAGAAAAGTATTTACTTATCCTGGAGTTCAGCTTTATATTTACTGAGCGTGCCTAAATGTTGCTTATATCGGAAAGAATTTAATGGGTACAACCTTTACGTAATAAAAAAAATCAAGCCCTATGCATAGTAATTTACAGCAACCCAGAAGAAATGTTCTTTAGGTCTTCTGACTATACCTCGTTTTTTGATTGGCTGACTGGGCGTCCTTTCCTTCTGGTATTAAAGACAATTAAGCACTCCTTTTTTTTATTGTGTTTATTGCTGGTTTGTTAAATGTCCCTCTGTGTGACTTTTTTTCCTGAGTGCGCCACAGACAACAATATTTACATCAGCCTGGCCACCGACAAGAGGGCCTAGGACGATTGAGGTATAAACATCCTGGAAATGGTATACACAGCATCATGCAATTATTGATAAGGCAACAGATAATGACGTCTTGTTTTATAAACAGTTCATTTTTAACCTACTTTCCAGTGGACAGAAGAAAAGACTAAATATAAACTGTTTGAATATCTTCTGGTCAGCAGCGTCTAGACCTCAACGCAAGAGTCTCCATCAAGTGGAGGAGACATGTAATATTTATATCTAAAGAAGGACTCTGCTAAGTGCTATGTTTAGAATGTAATCCTGTGACATCACCCCGCTGAAATTTCAGATAAACAACAAACCGTTCTGAAAAATAAGCCCACAGCTAAATTAAATCAGAACTCGCAAACCATGGTCAGAAGACTTTAGTACACCTAGTAGTGGGACTTAGAAAGGACTCAATGGGGTCCACTTACTAAAGGCAAATAGGCTGTTTGCTTGCCAGGGAACTTCTCCTTAGCTTTGTGTATATGGTGAAAATTCCCTTTGCAAAGAATAACTAATCACATGCAAGAAAAATAAAACAACATTATTTTTGCTTGCATATTTGGATGATGGACATCAGCAGAGCTTCACCCCATTGACTAAGCCAGCGTTTCTCAACCTTTTTTGAGTCACGGCACCATTTAAACATATGCAAATTTTCAAGGAACTTCAGTCTAAAATGTAGTGGGTTTAAGGGGGGAACCCCAAACATAAACACAAAAAAGTGGGGTTCCTCCCTTCACATTGAAGTCCTCCCTTCAAATCAGGAGCCCAACTTCACATAATCCCCCCTTTCACATCAGAATCCCCCCTTTCACAATAGAGTCATCCTTTACATGAATAGCCCCCCTTTACATTAGAAGCCTCTTTCTTTTACATCAGAGTTCCCTCCTTTCACATCAGAGGCCCCCCTTCATATCATGAGCACTCTTGACATCAGGAGCCTCCCTTCACAACAGAAGCCTCCCTTTACATCGGAGTCCCCTTCACATCAGAGTCGTACCATCACAACATTTCAAGGAACCCCTGAGAAGGTCAGAAGGCAACTTGGTGTGGCACGTTAATCTGGTTGAGAAAGGCAGGACTAAGCATAGTGAAATGCAAATCAACCCCATTAAATCAGTTTCAATTTGAGAATATAAACAACAAGGCACTATTACAAGGTATTTAAGTATCTTGGATTGGGGGAGGGAGCACTCTGCAATCTTTTATTGAAATTGGCTGTTAAAGTCAATTAGGTGTCTATGGCTTTAAAGTGTCAGTCCATCCAAAAGTGATACCTATGTCATAGGTGCAACCTGATGGGATGTCAGGCCTTGGCTTCTCGTAAGTCTTTTTTTTTTCAAATTCTTTATTTAGATAAGATTTTCACAGTTTTCCAAGGGTATCACAGAGGGGGGAAAAGAGAAGTGTACATAATTCACAAAAATACAAAGTGAAAACGCAAGGTACAACAATGGGCCCATGGGGGCATGGTGTAGGGCGCAATGCAGGTTAAATGGAGAAATAAACATCCAATCTAGACCTTTACGGCAGTTGTAGGAAATATAAGCGGGGACCCTGGTCGTAGCACCAACAAAGGTTAGCTAAGAGAGGTGATCGGGTTCCTCGGCCAGCGTTCCACAGAACATGTATGGAATCGGGTCTCACTACTATCTGAAAGTAGAGCAGCACCGGGGCTGCCGGGAGAAGGGGAGGTAGGAAAGAGGGGGACAAGAGGGATGTGCGGCTTAGAGGGTTAGGGAGGGAGTAAAGGAAAGAGGGGGGAACATTGCAGTCAGGGAGGGGAGGGCGGAGAAGAGGCGCAGGGTGTGTTCTGTCCTGGAGATCTACCCAGCGTGTCCTTGGCGTAAGGCTACATACTCTGGAGAGTTGAGAAACTCAATCCAGTAGAACCAAGTGCTCCGGAATTTGGCTGGGGTGTTATTGAGCGAGCTCGTGAGGTATATGTCGTGTACCCTGTCCAGCCATTGGGGAATGGTGGGGGGTTCAGGTCTCTTCCAAAGGGCCGGGATGCAGGCCCGTGCCGCGTTAACCAGGTGTCGCACCACTGAACATTTGTAGGTCTTGAGTGAGGTAGTGTTGTGGTGCAGGAGGAAGAAGGCCGGGTCTCGAGGCACCTGGGAGTCAGTAAACTGTTGGATTGTGGTGTGGACCTGGTCCCAAAAGGTTTGGATGGTGGGGCACGACCAAAATATATGCAGTATTCTCAATAGTCTTGACTACTCCAGCAGTGAGATCTCCCTACCATAATTCTGGACTCTGCCCCTGGCCTGCAGGGAGTGTTCCATCCACCTTTGCCTGCTCCAGTACCGCTTGTAGCATTCTCCATCCATATTATAAAATAATAAAGCATCCAGTAGGAAGAGTGGGTACTTAGAGCTGCCATTGGGTAAGTATTTGACAGCTTTGCAGCTTTAAATTATGTGATAAGGTAACATCGGTGGTGGAAATTTGCTGAAGTGTAGTTCTGTTTTAAATCCCTCTTTGAACTGTTTCCTTCTTATTTGGGGATAGGGTCATATGGATTGTTTTCAGCGTACTCGCATATGTCATATTTGTCATACCACTTTCCAAAATTTGACCAGTGTTATGCAATAAAGATCAGAAATCAAGCAGTTATTTTTTTCAATACTGGTGAAATCAGTGTCAATTGGTCAAGGGGAATTGTTGAACTTTCATGGACTGTGTACAACAAGCAGAATATGACAATTAACTCAATACCTGGAATATAGTCTTCTGTCATTTTATCTTAAATTATGTTGTGTAAAAATATACATAGCTGTGGCTTTTCTTCTTATACCTTTAATGATTAGCTAGAATCATATTTAAAACATGGCAGTCAAGGTTTTGGGTCATGCTTAGAAAACCATACATGCAAATGACTCATTTTTGATTTCTCATTCTGTTGTAGGCATACACACCATTCAACAGTTACATCGTGGAGAGAAAGGGTCAGTATCGTTGAGGCCAGTGACAGCCAGGCCGTGGACGGCCATTCCAGAAGGTCAAGGTCTTCAGCTGGCGGAGTCCGGAGTTGTTCTCACAGGAGATACAGTCATCGAATATCTTCTAGACAATAATATTCTTTCAAAATTCAGACTCCCATTTTATTTGTTGATCAGTCTTCGTTCGGACAAATCCAACAATGCTTTCCTTTTCAGTGTTAGAAATAAAAGTAGGCTTTGTTTTGGTGTCCAGTTGCTGCCGAGAAAGGTAGTTGTACATACGGGAGGAAAACAGTCTGTTACATTTGACTATTCAGTTCAAGATGGACAGTGGCACAATTTTACCATCGGTGTCGGAGCCAAGTCCATATCCTTGTTTGCGGAATGTGGAAACAAGTACTTTAGCAAGGAGTCTGCATTTGATATTCAGACACTTAGTCCAGGCAGCACGTTTACTTTAGGAAGGATGGCACCTCATTCTGTTCCGTTCGAGGGAGCAATATGCCAACTTGAGATTATGCCTTCAGCAGAAGCATCTGCAAATTATTGTCTTTATGTGCGAAAGCAATGTCGTCACGCTGATACGTATCGATCTCAGCCTGAAACCGTAGGGCAGCCATTGTCATCCGCAGATGGGAGGAATATTGTAAATACAAAGGATGAAACACAAACAATGTCTAAATCAGACACTGTCAATCAACCGGATCTGTTGACAAACGTTACCTCACTACATTGGCAGCAAAATTACCACCTTAGAAATCGTTCTATAGGCCATGGTGAATCGGAGTATGAAGTTGCCATTACTCAATTTCGAAACAACAGAACATCTAAAAGCAAAAACAAATTCAAACAAATGGTCCATCGGAAACCAGTAGAGACCATGACAATGTATAGGAATCTTTCTCTGATCTCTGCAACACCGTTAGAAACATTGGCCAAGGAAAAGACATGGTTGAAGAACAACACCCAGGAGCAAACTACAGAAGAACCGAAGGATGGAGGGATGGAATCTGTGAAGATCTATAACAGAACGTTGTATCAGGAAGCAAGTGACACATATGACCAATATGATCTTTGGGAGGATCCTTACATTGATGAAGGAGAAAAATATGAGACCGGAAACGGCTATGAAATCGACATGGAGAACTATGACTACGACTATGAGGAGTTGAACTTGCTTTTTGAAACGGATGACTTGGTTGGAGATAAAGGGGACCCCGGGCCTCCAGTAAGTGCATTATTTTTGTTATTTAATTTAAAAAAATGTGGAAAAAAACAGGATCACAGGGGAGAAGGGTTTATACTTACCTGTCCGGCCACCAATTTCTTTTGTCTTTGCTGTGTTTAAGAACTAGGGTCCATCTGAAGAATCTTCAGATTTGACACTTCCAGGAGTGTCAAATGCCTATGTCCCCTGCTGCATGCATTGGTTCTTTCCATTGACCCCTACATTACCATGTGTACTGTAAGGACAGCAGGAAGGACCGCAGGCCACAGTGGTTGGCCAAGCATTCCCAGAAGCATGTTAGATTTTAAGAGTCTGTTGGTTTGAAAGACAGCAACGATCAGAGGAATGTCTGAGGAGCCTCTCACCTAGAAAAGTGGAAGGCATGGAGTGACCCACTGAACATGGGGTCGCGACCCACCAGTTGAGAACCAAGGAGCTAGAGCATCCGGCCAGAGCATTGTGCCTGGCTCCTGGAAACCAGTGATGTCATTGGTTGCCAGGAGCTGAAAGGGACACTGGCCAGCACGTTCCAGGTTGCTAAGAGCTGGGCGAGGAAATGTGTATGGCCCCTACACATCTACCTGCTTGGCCCTTAGCAACCTGGAACACTCTGGCCGGCATCCCATCCAGCTCCTGGCAACCAGAGACGTCACTGGTTGCCAGAACCTGGATGGGACATTGAGGGCAGGACAGGAGGTTGCTAGTAGCTAGGTGAGGAGACGTGTATGCCAGTGAGACATCCCTGATTGCCAGAAGCTGGATGGGACATTGAGGGAGGGACAGGAGGTTGCTAGGAGCTAGGTGAGGAGATGTGTATGCCAGTGAGACATCCCTGATTGCCAGAAGCTGGATGGGACATTGAGGACGGGACAGGGAGGTTGCTAATAGCTAGGTGGGGAGATTTGTATGCCAGTGAGACATGACTGGTTGCTAAGAGCTGGATGGGATCCCAGTGGCACAATTTTTTGTAGCTATGCATCTGGAGAAGAGGAAGCGTTAGTAGTCCAGTTTAGAAGAGCAGCCTTTGGAGGGTGACTATTTCTCCCTCCAAAGATACAGTACGGTGAAAGCCACACAATGACAGGAAGTGCGTTACTGGCAGGATCACCGGGTGAAAATAAAGGAAAAATCCTGCAAGATAAAAACTAATGCAGCCACCACATTTTTGGACTCATAAATCGCAATATATAAATTGTTTTTTTGGCTTTAGCTTTAACTCAGAGTTACATTAACATAATACTAATGGAAACAGTTTTGAAACGATCAATATGTGACAAGGGACTGGCTTCTGTTCAATGTAGCATTGTTATTGGCTCCACACAGAGATAGTAGTTTTTTCTTTCTTCCTTTGGAACGTCAATTCAGATGTCTCATATCTCCTGGCAGTTGTGCCAAATATTTCAAGAGGCAGTGGAGCAGCATTTTTTTTTCTTAATTTATGAAGCTCAGATTAGAGGGAGTGGATAGCGCCAGCTCTACACACTTCTCTGACACAGTTTTGTCATCCCAGGGAACTTGTGAAATGATTACAATCGCTGAGCTATAATGAACTGCAGAACAAACGATGACACTTACAGTCCAGCACCTCTTTTCTGCCCCTTCCCATTTTATAATTATCATTTGCAAGGCCTTGTTTTCAGGCTGCCTTTAGGGACAGCCTGCCAAAATTTCAAAACCGTTTATGCTCACATACAAAAGTGCCAGAATCGCCATAATGAGATAATGTGTGGTGTAGCTATATAAATCTGTAACTAGATGCAACCTAAACGACACGCCAGGGACACGTTTGCTGTTGTTATGTGCAGTCTTGAAACACGACCTGCTTAGCTTTACCTCTTATCACATCATAATGTCCTCCATCCTGGCAGCTCAATCCTAAAGCCATAAACGTTACTCCCACTTTGGGTCCACTTTTAATAAAAGTTACATGCTTTGGTACAGTTCTGCATGCTTTTAGAAAGCAGGGGTAGGTAGGTCGTGGAAAGATCATAATTCACAATGTGACAGATTCAGGCAACCTGCCCACCACCAAGATAAACACATTCCGGACTGGGGAGAGAGGCTCATTTAGGGTGAATGATAACTTCAGATAGGATCTGAATCCTGAAGAAATTGTCACCTGAAGTTTGATTCCGCTTATATTGTGCTTTCCCTGGTTCCTATTTCCCCCTCATCAACATGCTAATGAGTAATCCCTTAGCCAGGTAGCCAATGCTTCTTAAAAATGACAGCTGACTCCTAACATTCGAAGTTTAATCTAGTTGTTGTCAATTTAGCTAGCTCCTAAAATATCCTGCTGGTTTTAGGATTGGACTGACTGGCTCCTGAATTCCATATTAGTCTCTGTGCAATGCAGGCAGATCATGGCTGGTGGGATGGGGCAGAACGGGGCTTGTACATGGCCTCCTGAGAATATCAAAGCACACTGCCTTAGCACTCCTCTGAAGGGTCCTCAGCCCTGATACAAGCAGTGGACTGGCTCTTGGGAGGAGTTGTGCAAATATTAAAATTAGGGATGCACTGAAATTTCGGCCGTCGAAACATATTTGCCGAAAATGGCACTTTTGGAAAAATGCCGAAAGTGCCATTTTCTAGCCGAAATAGCAGCGCATCCGTTCTTTCTCTCCTCCCGGCTGGGCGCTGATCTGTGTCCCAGCGGGGAGGAGAGAAACTGTCACAGGAGGCCGAGCGCTGCTGCCCTGATACAAGCAGTGGACTGGCTCTTGGGAGGAGTTGTGCAAATATTAAAATTAGGGATGCACTGAAATTTCGGCCGTCGAAACATATTTGCCGAAAATGGCACTTTTGGAAAAATGCCGAAAGTGCCATTTTCTAGCCGAAATAGCAGCGCATCCGTTCTTTCTCTCCTCCCGGCTGGGCGCTGATCTGTGTCCCAGCGGGGAGGAGAGAAACTGTCACAGGAGGCCGAGCGCTGCGGGAGGAGAGAAACTGTCACAGGAGGCCGAGCGCTGCGGGAGGAGAGAAACTGTCACAGGAGGCCGAGCGCTGCGGGAGGAGAGCACTGTTAGCAGCCGGCGTCTCCCTCTGACCGGAAGTTCCCATATTGGAGGTAAGTATAGGAACATTTGGGTGAGTACGAATACTTGCCCAAATACTCGGTATTGGCACCGATACTGATACTAGTATCAGTGCATCCCTATTAATGGTGTCCCTCTTACCCATCTCAGAAAGTTGGGAGGTATGGCTTAGTGAAGGGTTCAATTTGAAAGTCAGAACCCCACAATCTTCTTACACTTTGATGGAAGGGAATTGTGTGCAGTGCCTAAGGGGATTGCCCACAACCCACTCTGCTTGAACACTGCAAAAGACAAAGTTCTTTTCCCAATAAAGGCCTACAACAAGGGAATGGTATGTTATTGGAATTATTGGGAACCGTGCAATATTTGCTCTAAAACCAGCGCTTTAAGAATTGCAGATAAATACTGAATTTCTCTGGCGATCCATGAAGGCAAAGAAAGTACAAGATCAGACTGTGTCTAACAGAGGAGAATGTGTATGCAGAGACATAGCTCTGAGCTATATATCTATATGGGATGCAGGGGGATTGTGACTAATATCCTGTGTCTGCTGCCTGCATGACACCTGAATCGGGCTGTCTGCCAACACCAAACCTACCACCTGTATACCTGTACTGAGCAAATACATTGGCTGCCATTACTGAACCCTCCGTTAATAAATGTAAGATGCCCAGCTGTTTCATTGATCCGATGGCTTCAATAACTTCTGAATAACTGGCTCAGGGCAAGTATGCAGATCAGGAGCTTTGACATCAGTAGCTGCATCTTTGTTCTGGGTCAGCGATCCTGAATATTTTATGTCCAGGCAACTGGCGCTTTTAGAAGGAATTCAGCAGTAAAAAGTATTTTTCTCACTACAGGTCTCTTTTAGGCTGACTTCACGTTTTATCGCAGGGCGTATCAACGCATAGCCAACGACCATGACGAGCAGCAACGCATGTATGCTGCAGCATACCACCATGCACATGTTGAGTAATGCAGTAAAAATAAATACAGGTCCATTTTTCCTTAAATTGCTGTGCATTGGCAGCCCATTCACAATTACCTAGGCTGCCTTAAAGTAGAACTCAGGCATACATTTTATTAACCCCTGCAGTGGGGCTACTCCCGCACTGCGAGGGTTAAGTGCTCATTTTTGTCTAGGTTGAAAAAAAAAAATTATACTCACCCGATCCTCAGAGTTGGCTTGCTCTTAGTCTGATGCCTGGAGCATCTCTCCTTCTCTGCTGCAGTGGTCTAAGGTCCCGGAGTCATCATGTTCTATACACTGTGTATAGGATGTGAGGACGCCAAGAAAAATGCCATCGCTGCAGTGGAGGAGAGGGAGGCTGGGGGAGCGCTGTCACAGGTTTGGGTGAATATAGCTTTTTTTTTTTTTTACCTAGACAAAAAAAAGCTCTTTACTGTTGCAGTGCTGGGGTACGTCCATTGCAAAGGTTAAGAAAATTTGTGCCCGGAGTTCTGCTTTAACACAACCGGCGTGAACATTCTTCTATGACTGTGGCTTGTTGTTGCGACTAAGTTCTTGTTCACACGATGTCCGAAGACCTGCGTTTCTGTGCACCCGAACAACTCAGGTCTTCACAAGGGCACATAGATAAACCATTGCTTTCCGTGCGCTTCGTTCATACCATAGTGGAGTAGTGCGTACAAATACAGCACGTCTGCATTTTCCCGCACTGACACTCGCCTAATGTGTCTGTCTGTCTATTGGGAGCTGTGGTGCACAGAAATAAATGGTATCTCAATAAGTATATATATATATATATATATGTATAATATGTAAATATTTTAAGTGAAAGGAAAACAGTACCTTGCGTTGTAAAAACACAAAGCACCGCCCCCAATGCCAACACACACGGACACCAGCCTGCATGGTAAAACGGATCGTTGGCTGGCATTAATGAGGGCTGAGCATACTGTTCTCTGTTTTATAGCCCTCATACACTGTTGCACACACAGAGGAACAAGCAATATTGTAGCACACTTTTGTAATTGGCTTGCTTCATATTGCCACCTCTTGTGTCTCTCTGTCAGCACAGGTCCACTTGTATGAAAAAAATATCTGCAACAAGAAGACTGGGTAAACGTACCTCTTCTGCTGCCCATTTCTTGATAACAGATAGAAGTAGAGACACATGGCACTCCAGATGCAGATCAAACATGTTCTGCCTGAGGAAGGGGATCCTGCGAGACCCTGAAACGTTGCACCAGTGTGATATGCTGCTTATACGTCAATAAATAGACGCATTTGATCTACATCTGGAGTGCCGGTGTCTCTACTTCTATCTGTGTACATGACGGTTGCAATCCGTTGACCACCGCTGCCCCCATCCAATCCATATGGAATAAGCGGTCAGGAGTGCGATAGGTTCATGGACTCCCATTTCTTGATAAGCCACTTCACTGCTAACCGACCTCAGCAAGTATTGACATACTTTCAGGTGTTTTGATAACCCTCCCCCCACTGCTCACTATGGACTGTTCCGCTGGCTCTTACATCACTACAGGCATAGGAGCCGGTGGGAGAAACTACAGCAAGTTGTGGGGAGAAACAGGTATTCAAGCAACCCAACCGGTTGAATATTTGCACAAGATGGAGAGCAGTGAAGTGGCAGTATCTGTAAAAAATAAACCAAGGCAACTGGACTTGCTGTATTTTTCTTGAAGACGTTTCACTAGTCAACCGACTAGATTTCTTAATTCAGAAAGAGAAACCGGTCGGATGACCGGTGAAACGTCTTCAAGAAGAATACAGCAAGTCCAATTGCCTTGATTTTTTTTTTTTACAGATATACCTTGACCTGGATGAATGAGAACCTTCACAGACAGTGAAGTGGCAGCTTTTCAAGAAATGGGCCATCGGAAATGTAAGTATATTGAAATGTACTTTTGCAGGTATGTTTTACATACAAGTGACCATGTGCTGACACTTTAATATTGTGCAGTCATAAGGTACAGTGGAGTGGGTGGATCAGAAGAGTTTTTTTTTATAACGGGTTTAAAGTAGGGATGTCCAGATACCAGTTCAGATAGCAGTGCCGATACTTGGCATTTTCATGAGGACTACCAGGGTTGCAGCGGTTGCAGCTGGGACCTGGCTCTGGCGCTCCACCACTGTCCTGAAATCATTAGTCTGTATTGTTTTAGAAAAACTGTCACATGACAATAAACAAAAATGTATCAGTACTTGTATCTGTGAGTACTTGGGCAAGTATCAGTACTTGTACTTGGAAAAATTGTATCAGTGCATCCCTTATATATATTTATAAAAAAATTATGCATTAAAATGGGGATGTACAAATCCCAGGAGCTCCGTGTGCTCCTTACAAATGACAGCTGCCTCCTAGCTTTTGTATTTTTCTGTAGTCTAGTCCAGGACCTGGAAATGTATCTGTACTGTACATGTACCGAGCACAGTACTTGGTATCTGAATCATCCCTAGTTTAAAGTGTATCTAAAACCAAGACATTTTATGTAATTTTGTTTATAAAGTTGTGAAGGGTTAGAAGGATTGGGGAGATTTGCATTCACTTTGTGGCCCATTTACACAGCAGTGATGTTAGAGGAAATCTCTGCGAAACAAGTGTCCCCATGGAAAGATTTTCCCACTCCTTCTGCTCCACTGACAGCTGTAAATTCTTGGATTTCCCCTCACTTTCTGTCCCATGACAATGATCACCAGGACACAGAGAGATGCTGATAATTTGGAAGGGTTCAGAGTTTGAAATGTGGATTTAGCAACTTCGTTGGAGTTTCGCCCAAGCACACATTGTAAGATATCATTGTTTTTAACAATCACAACCATATTATAGAAAACACAGGACTTTAAAGCTGAACTTCTGGCCCAAATACTTTCATTCAGATATACACCACAAAGGATATAAATCCACATTGTGTGCACCAAATACATTTACAAAATCAGTTATTATTTTAAACGTAGCAGTGGCATCATCACTGTGCTGTACATAGCCTGTGCACGGAGCAGAGCTGTGGGAGGGACTCAACAGGCTCCACCCACTCCAGCCATGGTGAAAGAGTCTTGAAATGCTTAAAGTGACATTAAACCCTCAGATTTTTTAACATAAACCAATACTGTAATGTGTGCCTTACTGTAATCCATGGTTGTTTCCCTTCTCTTTGCTGCTCTTCCTTTTAAATATTCATGTCTTCTCATGCTGGGGGAGAACTTCCCTTTGCAGCTGAGTGCCTCTTCCTGTAGTGCTGGCTCAGATTACAAACCTACACACAGACACCATGTATCCATTCCAGAGACAAGGCAGTCTGCTGCAAAACAGAAGTTCTGCCCAGCATGAGAAGAGATACAGATTTAAAAGGAAGAGCAGCAAAGAAAAGGGAAACTACCATGGATTACAGTAAGGCGCACATTACACTATTGTTTCATGTTAAAAAATCTGAGGGTTTAATGTCACTTTAATTACACCACAGCTGGTGTGCCGAGGTTACCTGCCCTTGATGTCCAATATATAAAGCCCTGCGTACATTGTCGGATTGTAAGCTCCTTGAGGGCCGGGACTGATGTGAATGTACAACAGGGGTAAGCAGCTTTGGCAATCTAGCTGTGGTGAAACCAGAAATTCCATCATGCTGTTGTCTGTCAGAGTCTTGAAATACCTAATTATACCACAGCTGGTGTGCCGAGGTTGCCTGCCCTTGATGTACAGTATGCAAAGCCCTGCGTACATTGTCAGCGCTATGTAAATACCTGTACTACGATAATAAATAGACAAAACAACATAACAAAGTTACATTTTCTGCACACCATGCAATTTTAAATACGTGGGCTGCCATTGCTGAGCTCCTTCAGAAAATTCTAGTTGTTTGGCTTCAGAACAAGCATGCAGCAAGTGAAGTCATAGCATCTGACCTGCGTATTTGTTCTGAGTCAGTGACCTTCACAGTCAGGCAAGATCATAAAGTTATGAGTCAGTTTGAGCCAGCCATGGAATTTGTCTGGACCTGTCATGTGACCATATGTAAAGAAGAGGCAGATGGTGAGAGAGGTCCCAGTCACTGCTCTCCTTGGAGCTGCCGCGGTCTATTTATCTGCTCAGCTGGTGAAACAATGTGGCGCACGCCATGTACAAAACCAACAATTGGCTCCCAGATTCTGACATGTTTTCCAAAGTGTCTGGAAATGGTGATGGTGATAAGGACTTTTATGCTCATTGTCACTGTCTGCCTAAGTGGTACTGAACGTTCTCCCTCCAGGTCCTCCATTAACATGTGTGTTCCAAATCTTCTTACAGATCCCTAGATGAGATAATTTGTGTTGTTTTCATTAGTTATTGTTTAAAGCTGAACCCTTTATTATGTATCTGTAAAGCTCCCCCCGAAAGCTAGAAATCATAGAGGCATGCAACTCTGAGGTTTTCCTCCTGTTATTCTCAATGGAGCTGGCTCCTAAAAAATCCTGCTGGCACCTGGATTTGGCAGACTGGGTCTGGAATTCCAAATAAACGATGGACTTGGGAGATTGCCATACCAATGAAAGGAACCATCTAACTGCACCATTGAAGAAAAGGGAATTGCCAAATGAAAGGGAAAAAAAGGACAAAAGCAACATAGTAACCATACATCTTTATAAGGACACCTTCTAGAGCACCCTTTGTCAACCGGGGTGCCACAGCACTCTGAGGTGCCTTCTGGCCTCCTTAGGGGTGCCTCCAAATTTTTGCACAGCGCCATTTCCATGCACCATGAAACCAATGGCAATAATCCAGTGAGGGTGGTATCCATTCAAAAAAGGGCAAACGTTCAACTCCGCCCAGGTTTGCTCTACATCCTGCTCTCTGCCATGCTGCCACATCCTGCGCTGTAATGTGATGATAGGACTCTGATGTGAAGGGGGTATTGAGGACCCTGAATTGAAGGGGGGATCCAGATGTGTTTTTTTGCATGGGGTCAAGGCTACATAGTAACCATACATCTTTATAAAGACACCTTATTGAGCAGTCTTTCTCAACCAGGGTGCCACAGCACACTGGGGTGCCTTCTGGCTTCCTTAGGGGTTCCTATGCAAATGTTTGCATAGTGCTATTTCCATGGTGCAGGTGGTCCAGCCAACAGCACCATGAAAACCAATTGCACTAATCCAGTGAGGGTCGTATCCATTCACAAAAAGGGCAAAAGTTCATTTCTGACCAGGCCTGCTCTACCTCCTGCCCTCTGCCATGCTGCCATAGCCAGCGCAGCAATGTGATGGTAGGTCTCTGATGTGAATGGGGTAGGGTCCAGATGTGAAAGTAGGGTCCACACTTTTTTTTGTGTTTTTTTGTATGGGGTTATTTAAAATCTGCACCTAAAATCCATACCATACCCTATCTAAGATAAGAGCCTGTTATGGATTTTGGGGGTCCATACAACATTTTTTTCTTTTCTAGAGTAATGTTGGGGAAGTTTAGGAGCTGAACTGCGATCCAGTTAATGGCCCGCACCAGTTCCCTTTATTTATTGATCTAGATCATTTTTGAATATCGAAAGTCCACCATTTCCTTTGCAGAAAATAAACTGGCATTCCACAGCCTTCAATAGAAATCAGTGTGTTCTGTGTAGAGTTGAGTGTCTGGATTTTTTTCAGCTGTAAGTAGGAGCTCTGAGTCTGCTCTCTGTGATCTTACTGCGAGGTTAGAAGGTGTTGATAATTGATAGTTTGGGATTTAGACTCTGAGACACTGGAGCTTACTCATTCCTAGACTCTCAGTAACATGCTTGTGTTTCTCTGTCTCTCAAGGGTCCTCCAGGTCCTCCCGGTTTACCAGGTCCCCCAGGGAAAAGAGGTCCAAGGGTGAGTAATTGGCATATCACGTTTCACATCTGTTTTTTTCGTGTACTACCTGCTAATAGATTTCATTTTGTTTTATCCTTGGTGAACAGAACAACACTTACAGTTTTTTAGTGAGATGAGTTTTTTAGACGCTGGAATGTATGACTTGACGGAAAGTCTAAGTGTTGACTGTGTAATTTTGTCATTCAAAGTTCTTTTTTTTCCAACATAAATTACAGTTTACCTGTCAGCAGAATGACGTTGGAGGTTTTTATTTAACATATAAAGGAGCTCAGAACATAAATTACAAGTCTTATTTGTGCAAAAGAGCTTATAGCAAAGTTTATGGGTAATTATGTAAAAAAGAAAAAGGAATGTTTCCATCTGAGTATCAAAAAGAATGTACCCATCTGAGTATCAAAAAGGATAGTGGTGAAGCCAGGAGTGAAAAAAATCTTTGGGGCTGAAGTATATGCCTTAATTTACGCCCAGAGTATAGTCGGGTGAATGATGTTCGCATGGCATTACCACCACTAGATGGAGCCCAGGAGCATAGGGATTTCCTATACTCCTCAGCCTCATATAGTGGCGGCAATCCTGTGTGAATAGCATTCACCCAGCTATAGGCTGGATGGATCTGTCTAATTGTGGAAGGGACCATAATGTATTAATGATTATAGAGCTGCATTCATTTGTGTCTTATGCCTAGAAAAATATAAATGACACAAAATAATGCAGCTTTGTAATCACTAATACATAATTAAAGGGTTTTTTTTATTTAATGCAAGAAGTGTATGTTCCTGGTAGCAGCCTCTTGCAGTCCCTGCATTGTGAAAGAAAGGATCAGCACAATGAGCCAATCCATTAAATGAGAACTATGGGGTTAAGGCTTTTCCCCATAGTTCTCCTTATGGTAACGGGAGGACACAAACTAGCGTCCTCCCGTCACCCTAGGCTCAGTATACCGCAAGCTGCTGCTCGCGGTATGCTGAAACGCCGCAGCTGAAGGGGATCCCGACAATAATGCCGGGATCTGCCCAGCTGCGTGACTGACAGCCAGCTGTACCCGCCCCGTCCGTTCCGCCAGTCAGCGCTGGCGGAGCGGGGAGGGGGGAATCCAGCCCCTCCCCTGTCACAGCAGAGAGCTGTGACAGGATCGAGAGGTGAGCGAACGCTGGTATGTGTTCGCTCACCTCCCGATCTACTGAGCCGACCTGTGACAGTCTCATTGTCACAGGTCGGCTAGAACTATGAGGTGAGTGAAAAGCACTCACCTCATAGTTCTCCTTTTAATGTGCTGACAAGTGTGCTGATAGGAGAAGAAAGTAGAGTGACAGAGAGATGAGTCCATTACTGTGCTGCTTCTTCTTCTACTGTCCAGCCACGGGCCTCGGGGGGTGGATCCAGGATGACCTGACTTCAGTGGAAGTGGCTTTAATGTTGGTCATCAGGCTGAGGACATCAAGTGGCCACAAAAAGTAATATTTATTTTGAAGGTGAGTATTACAGCAAAAGCTGGTTGTGTTGCTTAACCCCTCCCTGACCGATTACAGAATAATTCCATCACGGTCTTTCACTTCCTTAACGACCTGTGACAGAATAATCCGGTCATGCGGTACAATGAGAGATTGAGTTAATGCTGTGGATGGGCCCCTCGGAGTCCAGGGCAGACCCTGAACAACAATTTAGGCGGTCACAGCACAGGGATCACTGTGATAGCTAATCACTGTGATCATCACGTTGTGCCAGCCACTGAGGCGGCATTCAGCTCACTGTGTTGTGAAGCTGGAATCCGGCTGTGTATTACAGTGATACATCGAGGAGAATACAGTATCTCCTTAGAATACTTAGTATCAAAAGCCTGTGTGAATAATTTTTTTTACCCCTTTGTGCCCCACTAGTTTAAAAAAAATTAAGTTTTTAAAATTTAAAAAAGGAAAAAGTAAAAAAAATCAAATTAAAAAAAAAAATTATATAGAAAATATAATGTCATGGAGGCCATTAAATTAGGACAAACATACCACATTCTAAAATTGTTCCACACTAGAATTGTATTTTGTGACCTATAACTCCAAAAATAAACTGAAATCCCAGACATATGATATACCCTATGCATCAGGACAAATAAATAAAATGTATTATGAATTACTTTCTGTTAGCTACACTAATTTATGGACACATTATTTTTGCAAACTGTGAAAAAATGTGTGCGTGTGGGGTGGTGGGTAATTTTTTCTTTTCTTTTGCATATATTTGTATTTTTTATAAGAATATAAGAATTTATATATGCATATGTTACAAGCAAATTAAAGCTAATTTTGTCCTTTAAAAAATGGTATATAATATGTGTAGGCGCAATGCATGAGGAAGATGGAAATTATCGTTAAACAAACACATAGCAAAAATGTCAAAATTGCTCCAGTCCTCAGGAACGGAAACATTTTCTGAAGCTGTGTCACTAAGGGGTTAATGTTTTAACAGACTATTCATTTTGTACCTTTTTATTATTAACTAGAGTTCTGTTTTAAACCAAACATGTTGGGTAAAGGGTTTCTCAGCACATTATTTATTACAGCCAGGAAAATAGGAAATATCTGAACACAGATATAATGCATTCTTGTTTCCAGTCAGCATGTGGTTCTCGTGGCTCCTTTTCATGTTTTCCAGTTTTGCCTTACCGACATCTGAAAACACCTTGTTGTTTATAGAGCTCAGTAGCTCAAGCTGAAATAAACATACATATTGAGTTCATCAGAACTGTGACTTCTCCCCCCTCTCCCCTTCTCTTTGTATGGCTTATCTGAGATTTTAGGAAGGGACAGAGTCCCTGAAAAGGAACTGCTTGTGCTGTACTCTCTCTTTAGAAAGCCGATAGTGCTGTGGAAATCCTTTATCATGTCATTAATATCTTTTTTCAAAACAAAGATTATATAATTAGTGTAGCACTCTCTTTTTTTCCATTTGATTTTGGGATGAAAGGAGTTTCCTGAAGGAAAACTACCTTAACTGTTAGGCCCTTTTCACCTTGTCTGGTGAGGAAGGGATCCGTGCACAGATCCCCTCCTGATTGGAGCGGTACAGATCGGATGTCACTGTTGTGTCATGCGTGTTCGTCCAGTTTTTTCCTCAATGTCAGTCTATGGGGGAATCGGATTTAAAGGGACTGGTGTCTGTTTACATCAGATTACCCCTGATCCGGCATTATCAGGTCCGGCGAAACGGAATACTGTTTCATTTTTTCTCCGGACCTGGCCAGAGCCGGGGTCAACCGGATGTACACAGACACCCATCTGTTTAGATCCAGCTGCCCATAAACTTGCATTGTCCACCTGAAAAATGGCAGAAAACACATTTGTTCGAACAAAATTCTACTAGTAGTGTATAGCCAGTTTTTCTCAACAAACCAGCAATCACACTAACCTTTTGGGTGGAGTTCCCCTCTAAGTTAGACACCGGCAGCTGAAGACGATAATATGGCGTAGTTCCCTTCTTTATAAGTGTCTTTTTTTACCTTCAACCTTGGCCCTGCCCCCCCCCCCCCTATTTTGGGTGTATTTTTGGATGCTCCCCCGTAACTTTATTCCCCAAAGTGCCTATTGGATTCCTATTTTTAGAAGGTTTGGCCCTCACCCTGTATTTAGCACTGTCTGGTAATTGTGACATTGTATAGTGAATTATAGTTTATGTTAATCTCTGTGCAGAACCTTGCTGTGCTTCTATTTGAAGTGTAAGGATGTGTACATCTCTACTGTTATTGGATCTCCTATGTTTTGAATGGTTGGGGGATTCGTGCCTCTACCTTACTAGCGTTCTGGCCCTCAAGGCCCCTTGAATAGTGCATGTTCTTCAGCTCTCTTCACAGACTGCCAGGGTGAAATAATTGGGGCTGATTTACTAAAGGAATAGAGGCTTTGTAAATAAGTTGACGCTGTGTCCACACTAATCAACCAACCATATAATAGCAAAAATCTTATTTCTTATGGCTAGCACACACCATAGTGTTGCGCTAAATGTTAAATGCTTAGTGCATGCTATTGCACGGTAGTGCTCTGGTGCATTGGGTTGCCATTTATTCTACAAGGTCCCCCAATCCACCTCCTGGTGGGCTTGTGTTTCATCACCCCAGTAATGTGCACTGCTCTGCTCTGCTGCGTGGTGAAAAAAGTAATGTACTGCTACTTTTATATCATCGCATGGTACCAAAAAGCACATTTGTGCGATGCTGCGGGTTGCGTTGGGATGCAACACAAGCCCACCGGGAGGTGAGTTGGGGTGCTATTGAGAATGAGTGGTGCACCTAGTGTGTGGTGCAATAGCATGTGCTAAACTCATGCATTCCACTCATTTAGCACAACACTATGGTGTTAATGGGTCATTAAATCTGAACTAGACCGGCAGCTAAATACACAGATGAGATACACATATGGGGACTGTTTTACTTTATGATCTGTATTTCTGTCCCTTGCCTTGGATAGCCCCACTGCAAGGGTAAAAATACTTGAGTTCTTTAATTTCTCTTACCCATCACTGGGTATCCAATGTAGACCGGTTCACCATATTTACTAACAGTTACACTCTGCATAGTGAAGGGTCTGTACTTCTCTAGAAAATCAACACCAATTGGTAACCCCACTGAAAAAGTACAATTTCAGTGGGGCTACCCTCACACTGCAAAGGTTAGGCGCTCGTTTTTGTCTAGGGGTCCGCAGTAAAGCAGATTTATTTACCCAGCGGATCTCAACACTTAGTTGGTACCCTCATTGTCCCATTTTGTCTGTACATTGCCATCTATATGTATAGTCCTGCTCCAAAGAAACAACTCGGCAAGTAACCCCAAACCCACTGTCAAGGTACTTTTTGTGTTTGCCTGGAGATGGGCTGAAAGGTCCCAGAGATTAAATTATTGCATTTTTACATAATATAGATGGCAACACACAGACAGAATGGGACAAAATGAGGGTACCAACCAAGCGTTGAGATTTTTAAAGCTTACAGCCCATCACTGGGCAAACAAAAAGTAC